AAAAGCTGCACAGCCGCAGCTTTACTGTAAATTAGGGCAAGGATACAAGGCAGGGGAAGATCGGGTGGCTCTGTCCTCATCTCTGCAGCACCTTTCCCAAGGCTCCAGCCGCTGGCCGGGGCCAGAAGCCAGCAATGCGGCGAGGCAGACCTTTAGCGTGACCCCTCGTCGGGGCTGTTCTCGGGAATCACTCTGGGGATTTCAGCACGACCCGATGTGACACAGCCCGTCTGAGCCAGCAGCCCCTCTCCAAAGGCTTCACCTAATTGGGATAACAGGAGCTGGAAAGCTGCAGCGACTGCAGATGTTAGAGGGGGGACTTGTAGTGATGTATTTATTGCTTCTGGCAGAAGTAGGGAAGATCCTGGTTTGTGACTGCTGCCGAGAGAACACGCTCACAGGGTGCTGCCCACCCTTCATCTATCCTGGTGGCTGCTCCAGCCCAGCCGAAGGTGAGCTTCATTTCAAGATACTCAAGATTTCAAGATTCCCCCTTTCCAGGGGAAACCAGAGGCTTTCAAAGAGCAGCTTGGCTTTGTAAAAGCAACAGCGGGTCCGGCTTCAATTATTTACTCTGTCTCAGGAGTCCCAGCTGGCTTCAGGCACGGCACTGCATCCGCTCGGCTGGCACTCACCTGCCCCGTCGGGTCATCTCCCCGTTACTCACAGGCACCAAGGACAAACGGACTAATCCAGCACAGGACCCAGAACCTTCCCCCCCATTCCCATTTTATGGGCATATTCCTTTGATCTCCCGCTCCGGAGTACCAACATCCCTCCCAAACACAACTTCTAGATGATAACAGGAACAAATCCCTCCAAAGCAGACACAGAAAGGGATCACGACAATCCCCACGCAGAACAAGCCCGTGACGAACGCACGATGTGTAACAACAGCTCCTGTGTCTACAAAGGACAGGCAGGATGTAGTAAAGCTGCCCCGCGGGCATGTGGTTCTGCCCAAAGCAAAGAGAGTGTGAACGGAGCCCGAACGCAGGTACACCGGGGCTGGGCGCGTATGATGCAACGCTCTTGGCATCAATCCTACAGAAAAAGGCAGGGCTGCCGCTCTCCCCAGGTAATGGAACGTGGCCGTGGATGGGAGATGGAGGAAAGGCAGCGATCAGAGAGGCTCCGTTTGGAAAAAAAGCAAAAAAAAGCAGTCAATCCCCAGCTCTGCACGCTCACCTGCCTCCACAGGGGAACAAAGGATCCAGTTCCAGCACCCTATGGAACCTGCTGATGGGGAGACAGGAGTTTGCTCAACCCAAGATCTTTCGCAGCTTTTCAGGTGAAACATTTCCGAAATGGGTGGAGGAATTCTTGAGGTACTGGCACAGCTGCATTCAAGCTGCATGTGAGGTTACATACCTCGGGAGCCTTGCACAACGTCCCTTTGGTCCTTTATTTCATCTCCTCTAGGTTCTCCCAGTCTTGACCTGTAGTGCTTCCTACAGAATTCAGTACAGACCCCTATAAGAGGGATAAATGCTCGCTTGCTTTAAAGGAGTAAACTCCATTGCAAGTTACCCATGGATCCCTATTTGTGGGATTAAGGACCAGAATGAAAATGCACAGTAGGGTAGGGAACTTGTGGAAAGAAAAGGGGAAGAATAAAGGGAAATCCTCCAGCTCAGCTTCCCCGCCAGGAAAACGGGAACTGTAACACTTTCTGCACACGGAGGATAAATCGTGCAACGACTCCTATCTGCAATTCTCACGTTTCCAAAGTGCTCAGTCCTGCAACTGAGAGACG